TGTGTGTGTTCGTTCGTTACAAAAACAGAAATGCAAATTGTGGCATGAATAGGCCTAATACTAAAGAGTGGTGATTTCAGTTGGACTGATATTATCGATCCAGATTTCGGCCGGATAAGAACAGTGTTATAGACACAGCTTGCCCTTTGACATAACTTTCCGTCCTGATTCTCTATTACAGCTGTTCCAAACTGTGTCCCTTTTCCAAACAATAGTTCGAGCTTCATTTGCCCTGAGCAACCTCCGCTATGGTCTATAGGTAAGTGATTGTGGAAATTCCACGTGTTCATCTTTTAGATGTTCCCATTAGTCCATGGGCCGAGAGCACACGATATGTTTCATGAGCTTATCAGTGCTGTAATGTTTGTGTTTTGTCACATCTTTCGCCAATTTTTAAAACATCAATCGCTATCTCTCTCGGTCATATCGGAGACGGACGTTAAACTAGGAGGTCCCGCCCTTAAATAACCTAATAGTGTTAATAGGGGCTTTAAACCCATACCATACCATGGAATCGCTATCTCTTTGTCTCTCTTTTTCAGAATCTCCCCACTCACCCACAAACAAACAAACAAACAAACAAACTAACTAACTAACTAACTAACTAACTAACTAACTAACTAACGAACGAACGAACGAACTAACAAACAAACAATCAATCAATCAATCAATCAATCAATCAATCAATCGGTCAATCAATCTGTCAATCTATCAATCAAACAAACAAAAGCAAAAACAAAAAACAAGAACACAAAATACACCAAGCAATCAAACAAAATACTACCATATCCATTATCACCTACGTACCTATGCAATCTGCAGGGCCGGCTCGTGGGTCTAAAAAGTGGGCGTGCACACTTGAGCTATCTTAGGCTGAAGATAGTCAATGGCATAGTAAATGGGATGGTGTATAATTTTAGGATCTTTGGGATGGTTAAGGAAGACCTTGTGCTTTTATTTTCATTCTTTTTACGTGTGGCTTTGACTTCTAGAACTAAATCTGTTTGTTAGCTGAACGTCAATTTCATTCATCCTGCATTAGAACTGAACACTCAAGTACGTTTCACCATTCCACTACAAAACTGTTTAAAAGCACAACTCATGTCATAGGAGAACAATGCCTGAAGTATGTCACGTTCATCTCCCTCAGGTTCAGGGTCATAGAGTCACTTAAAATAGCCGCAAGACAATGAACCAATCACAATTCACTTGAGCACTCCGCTGGATTGCTCTGGGGCTCAAATAGTTTTAGCATAGAATAGTGCACAGTCTGTTACGTTTATTTTTTGATTGCCTACTGTGGGGTATGTTTCGGCACTATTAGGCGGGAGCACATTTATTGAAATGTGCCGTTTAATTAATATTAATGTACGGCCAAACTCTCCGCGAGTGTCGTCATCGCTTGGGTTATCCAAAAGAGCGATTTATATGTCAGGTTTCCACTGTTGAATACGCTGTTATGTTTAGATACAGTGCATGAACTTTGGCATGGCATAGTAGATGTTTTACTGCGCAGAAATAACAGTTGCGGCGCCAGCGAGGAGCTTGTTTTGATATAATATTAGGCTAGTGTTTGTTTCTGGCGTCTATTACGTAATAGAACATTAAAAAAATTTGGGCGGCACTGCACGACCGTGCTCTATGGACGAACCGCGTCTGGTAATCTGTCTTACAGTCAGGCACGATTAGTTTACTCAAGTTTATACCTAAGTGTGCATGAAATTATTGATAATATACACATTCGTTCTCCCTTGCCTCTCTCTCTCTCTCTCTCTATTTCTATCTCTCTCTCTCTCTCCCCTCTCTCTCTACCCCTCTCTCTCTATCTATCTATCTATCTATCTTTCTATCTATCTATCTATCTATCTATCT